TAGCTATATCCCTGAATTTAATGATTATTATTTATTATATATGTACATTTTTCAGAAAACTGCTGGACTGCAAGGTTTTTCATATTTTCAGACATGATTTATTATATAGTACTACATATAGAATATAACATTTAAATAATTTATTATATTTATTTAAGAGGAAAAATTTAAAAAAAAAACAACTAAATAAATTAAAACAATTGAAGATTATTTAAATTAAATTAAAGTTTTTAATACGTATCATCCATAATAGTGCAAATTATTATCATTGCGTATTTTGTTTGATACAAATAATTATTAAAATTGGCAAAAATCATAGTAAATTCTCAAAACATGATGATTAATGACTGTATATACGGTACTCTAGGTGCTATACCATTTAATTTATGGAATTCGGTTTACATACAAGAAAATAATCATGAAACACCTATTATAATAGCTTTCTTACGCGTAATATGCAATTTGGATAATGTTTACTAACCATTATCAATTTTATTATTGAAGGTGATTGTGATAATATCGTATGTATTACATTATGTCACATATTTTTGTTTTCAATAACGATATGGCATATTGAACGCTAGACTTGTGGGCAAACAATAAAACAATTTAGAAAATTAAAATTTGTTGTTCTATGAAAGTTCTACATATTTATTCGACACTAAATTTCAAGTGAAATATTGTGAAGTGAATACTCGAGTTGAATAAAAAATTAAAATATACAAGGCCATCCAAATAATATTCCGTTACAATATGTAACAATATGTAACGATTACAGTTATTATTTTCAACAATGATATAATATTCTATCAGTCAAATGACCATATTTACTGGCATGAATTTTGTCAAAATCTTGGTTAATATCAGTACTATAAAGCTATTTTGAATGAAATCACCTAATGCATTATATTATATATTAGATATTATTATTATATTAAATAAAATAATATTCAAATAGATGAAAAAAATTAATATTTTTTGTCATCATAACACATAATATGACAAATATAACTTGCAAAAGTACATAGCTTCAACATTTTAAAGACAAAAATTACCCGTGGCAACGTTTATCTATAACATATAGCCACATTTACAAGTAGTATAGTCATAAATATAAGATATTGTATCACAGATGAGGATTGACATGATATATGCACA